ATAATATTATACATCGTCGATAATAATATATAATAATGCTGGGAGTGCAAATCCAGTTCCGATAGATGTTACGTGAAGTCGCAATATTGCTTCCACTACGACGGCGGCGGCGGTTGCCAGGCACGCTACCCCATCCTCCTCCCGTTCCCACAGACACCGCCCACACCAATCGCGTTTGCTTATATGTAGTATAATATAGTAAAAACGTAGTCTCATTCCTTAAATAAAAAACAAATATAGCATATACCGGCGGCGGCGGTGACGTTACCAGTTTGGTGTTCTATAGAGATGATACGACCGGGAAAGTATAATTATATTATATGAGTATGAAAACACGTTAAACGGGAAGACCGTCGTTGTAGGTATCTATGTGTAATTTTTTCATTATTTCATCGCGACGATGTATCGAAAATCGAAATCTCCTACAAATCGATACGTTTTGAAAATTTGCGACTGAAACGCGAGCTCATAAAGTCGTATATGTCTATTCGACGTCGACGTGATGCCTTATTGTATATTATTTTACTACACGTTTAATATAGGTTTAACCATCGGTCTGAACTGAGTTGACGAGATTTCGGCTTAAGTCTCAACGCGCACAATCGTGTCGCTTGTACAATAAAATGATGCCAAACGTAGGCGTGTGCCGTGCGCGGGAGACATAATATTATCATTAATGTCCGTACGGCTTGGTCTCTACACAACGATTTTAATGCTATTACACACATCCACCCGCCACGCCGCCGACCATACACACACACACAATTATTATTTAAAACATTTACACACGTTAAATACTCGCGGGTATAATATACAGTATATGATACAGGCAGCTATGAGTTGTGACACTCTCACTCGGTTCGCGACACTTTCACCCTTTTTGTTGTTGGTGTATATTATATTAAATGTATTATACACACACACACACACACACACACACACACACATACACACACACACACACACACGAAAGTGCGTTATCCATTATACACACTAATAAAATAGGTGCCTATATACCTATAATAAAGTATCTACACTTATCTTTGTGTATACACGTTGCAATAATAATGGGCCGTTGGGCGGCTAGTTACAGCGGAGATGTAATCCTTACGCGACCGCCGAAGGATATAATATATAAATATGTAAGTGTTAAATAGAATAATATCTAAGAAGAAAATATAATAAACGGAGAGAATGAAAAAAAATAAAAAGCAATTTACCAACTGTTCGAGATGCGCGTATCACCTATATATATTATATATATATATATAAATATTATAATACATGCAGTTGTTATGAAATTCGATACTTGCTTCATTGTGCCTATTTAATTGAATTTGTCCGGATCAAAATTAAACACAAAAACTTGCACACTCACGAGCATGGACGTGACAATGGCGACTATTCCACGAATACACACAGATCGAGCTGATAACGACTCGGCGCCGGTATAATCTATTGTCGCAACAATACTATACATAACGATAATATTATACTAGTAGATATAATAATTCTTAAGTATATATATATATGATAGATCCCCGACATCCATAGTAAACCTAAGTCGATTATAAATAGTTTTAAAAACATAAATATAGGTAGAATTCGCAGTATAAATTTATCCTTGGCACTTTCCATTTTCCGTTTCTTTTTTTTCTTTTCTTCTAGAGTTCGCTCTAGATCGATCCCTATGATACGCGCGCGCTCGAGTATACGCACAAAATTCGTCTTACATAGGTATCTATTTATAACAATGATAATACCCATTATCCTACAACATACTGCGGTAGTCGTGGCGACGTGACTTCGTGCCTTCGTTATAATATTGTGTATCCATATAATTTAAGTGTACAACACACAAGACACTCGGATATCGGTGTACCTGCATTGATCCATATTATGGCGACAAAAATCGGAAAGCGCTAATCAATAAATTACACGTGCATTACAGTCACTATTATAAATATAATAATATAATATTTTGTTTAGTGATTGGGTCATATCCGAGTATCCGATTGTGGGTTACAGTTATTACATCTTGCACCAAATTCAGACAACCAGAAGATAATAACGTGTACTCCACTACTCCACGCTATTAAATAGTTTACATACTATTTATAAAGCTACACAAGTGCATTTGACAAATTACAAACCAGAAATAAGAGCATGAAAAAAAAAAAAAAAAAACACGAAAGTCCGACACTCCTGCACTGTGTGTAAGTACACGCAAATACAATATGACATACGATTTACGCGTCATGACCGCTGTAACCCGATACGTCGTTTTCGTTGTACCTACGGACGCGAACGGAGCGGAACAAGTCTCGGACACGCGACGACTATCACTTTCTAGTTTTGACATTGAGTCTAACCCTCGCGCGCACGTCACCCGGTGCTTTCGTTTAGAGCCGCGGTACTCTGTTACTAATGAGGGCCCACGCCAATGGCCGATTTTTCGCGTATCTCTTTACAACGTATAATAATAAATATCGTTATTGTGTTGGCTGTTGGGACAATATTATTACTTATGCGTACCTACACCGCGTGCCGCCATCCGTACTTACATTGCACTGTATTGTACAGATTATAGTGAGCTGTCGTTTGGTTATCGTATCGTATAGACTAGATTGACACGCAGATCGACAGCTATTACGGCGATACGCTAGAGAACCAACGTGCAGTATGTTGTATATTCGACATTCCGCGGCGTCATCACTCTCGCCTTCGATTTTCTTTTTTTATTCGTTTAATTTTTACCGATTGGTCTGCTTGTGCTCAACTCAGACTATATTCTTATTTGAATCAATCTTTTACACGCCATTTAGTATTTTAGTTCTTTTGCTGCTACTACTAGGTTTCTCAAAGGAAGATCTCTATTATGGTTTGATTCTTCATTACTTGCAATATCGTCTTCCTGCAGATTTAAATTGATCTATATATCGTTATCACTGCACTGTCTTCGTGCCTTCGTGGTGCGTGTTCTATTTCATTTAGCGACTAGTGCTCGTCTCATTAGACTATGGCCTTACCTTGCCATATACATCCAGCACATTCAAATCTTTTCAAGATAGAATATTTTTGGATATTTCTCATAATACCTGCATTCATTGTTCTTTCCTGTTTCAAGCCATGCAGCGATCCATATAATATAATATTCAATGATGTATACCGTTTATGACCACTTTGAGTTTCCAAGCTCTCGAGAGCTTTGGAACATAATGTACATCGTATGAGATTCAAACAGAATTTGTTGGCTCGTAGTAATGTACATATATGCGAGATATAGGTACACGGGTAATACTTGAGTTTAGAAAAATAAACACTGCACACACACATACACACGTATATAAGTGCGCTCGTTAATTAGTTTTTTAGGCGTATACAATGCGACGATAATGATGTGCGATGAAAAACGCGTAGGTACCTGTGTATTGTATATTTACGATTTTATTATATTAACGAACCGGAACAGCTTTCTTGTACGGTTTATTATGTTATTATTGTTATCCACAGCGGTGACTCTGCTGCTGATTGATCGGTTTTCAACGCGACAAATATTATATGATCATCGTCACGATGATGTTATCATATCCTGGTTTTGATGAAGAGACTACCAGTGTGTAGTGTTTGTCGTGGTGATAGACCAAATAGACCAATGATGACAATAAGGCGCGAGCTCGTAAAAGTGGATGCACCGCACAATGTGACAAGAAACTATAATATTATTAAACTATACAATGCATTCGCGCTTTAACAATATCGACATTACTCGACGTCTTTAAATAGCGAACAACCCAATTCGAACGAAAGTATATTATTATGAACAAACACTAGGTACTTACAGCTATAGCAACACAGTGATTTAAAATATTATTTTTATCGTTTTTGTTTGGCGCTCAAATTGTATGGATGTTTTTAAAAAACAAAACATTATAATTATATTTCTTGTGGCCTCAAAAACGATATCATTATTCTTACGTTTAGATCGAGAAAAATAATACAACAAAAACGATCAAATAATGATTAATATGTGTTAATTCGTCATTGTTTTTTTTTTACTATACAAAGACATCGTTATGTACTATTATTATAGTCTATGAAATCGTTTTAATAATATTTGTTAACCATCAGAACGGTTTTCATTTTCTCCTACAGCCAACATCATAGTATTACTTATAACAATAATAATATAAGTAGCTTACATAACTAGCATCTAATCAAACGAAAACCGATGATTAGGGCCAAGGGTAGGGAGAAAAATACCAATTTTTTCCTTGGCCTAAATTACTGATCGACAAATTTAGGACTCAAATGCAGTCAAATCGAATATTTGCAGAGGTATAATCGGTTGGTAGTTGGTATACAAAATAAAATGAGAAACATCGACTGTAGTAATAATATTATTAATTATTATGTAATATGCAAACCAAGAGACACATGCGCACGCCTGATAAAAATGATATAGGCCAACCGTAATGCGTGTACGCCCGGTGTATCACAAAATGGCGTGACTGTTAATGCCGTGTCCATAAATGCTCGTTTCAACATCATAATATATAATTTATCATTTTCCTACAAGATACTCGGTTTGAGAATTATATATACCAATGGAATAAATAAAGAAATCCGTAAATTCATTTTTGTTAATCTCATGTATAGGTATAGTAATACGTATCCATTATTCTGCATGATTCAACTACTTAATCGGTAAATAGAAACTGAACAAAAACAAGTATAATAAATAATAAACGTATAATCCTATTTTTTGTGCATGACATATTTTATACAATTATAGTAATAACAACTTCGACATATACGCATATAAATTTAAGACCAATTTCGCGAAAACGATTAATAGATTTTTCATTCATGAAGCGGGACACCGACTAGAATTCGTTGAGTGGTCGTAAAAACACATCAATTGGCTTATAATGCTAACAATCGCTTAGATAAATATCTATAATACGTATAGTATAGCTTAAACTTCAAAATGTACTTACTGTTGGTAGAGAGTCGGCGGACAACTGGGTTCGAGGGACGGTGGAAACACTCCCGATGACTTGAGCGGCCCGGCAACTACGGGGATCTTGGCCGTGGACGGTGATCTGGAGGCGGCGGCCGCCACTTTTTTGTCTGCGTCTCTGGCAATTTTCAGCGGAGTGCAGATCTGGTGTTTGACCACGTTATTTTGGACCGTGRAAATGGTGGCACTGAACGCTGGGGGTTTTACGGTGGACATGACCACCTGCTGTTTAGGCACCGCGGAACCACCGGCACCCTGGAATACGGATTTCCGGGCCGAGAACTCGGACTTGCAGTAATCCTTATTGGGTATGGTGAGTTTGTTACGACGGACGCTCGATGAACGACCAAACTCCTTAATGCCATTGTGCGGAAATTGCAGTGATTTTTCGTCAGTCGTTAGTGATGGTGGTGGTGGCGGTGCAGGATGTTGGGGCGGCTGCAGCAGTTCAATGGCAAACGACTTGACCGGTGTCTGAGGCACTGCTTTGTGGCTGTCATATATGTATGACAGCGATTTTGATTTTTCACTCATCGCATTATGCTGATTCTGCTGCTGGTGGCCATGCATATGGTAATTGTTGTTAGTAAACAATCCGGCTGATGAGCCACCACTGCAGCTAGCATTAAAGTCTCTGCTGAGGAGCACGTCTTCGACAGCGCTAAAACTGCTCTCCAGTCTTTTCTCCTTACCGTTGCGCAGGAATTTGTCGTTCCTCAGCGACTCAGGTTTAGGCCAGATGGCCTCCGGTGGGGGTGGCGGCAGCGGTTCGTCCGATACGAACATTTGCTCGTCGTCATCGACCACCGGCGGTGGGGGTGGAAGGTCTGGACTAGGTTCTCGTTTCGCTTGAGGCGTTTGCTGTCGAGCGACCTGTTTTTTCTTAGGTGGGAGTTCAGGCACCCAATCGTCGATCGATATCGACGGTCCAAGTACCATAGGCCCAAGAATCGCTGTCGACAGTGAACCACAACTAGAACTGAACAGTGTACAAAAACAAGCGATTAGTACTGCAAATATATACAATATACAAATTGAAATATGTTTGATTTATTTTATTTTTCGTGATATAAATATTTTTAGACAACCTATAACTTAACGAAGACATTATAGTACTTTACAAATTACTTTTAGAACAAATATTTAATATACTAATAGTGAATACTCAATACAGTGATGATTCATTACTTATATTGGCTTAAACCTGTTATAGTAGAATACAAACAAAAATTTGGCAAATAACCAACGATGTATTCTAAAACCGATTAAATATTGCAATAAATTATTAAGTTTATGTTAAATTTTAAAATTATCAACTCTAAAATTCATTAAATTTATAACTTTTTATATACCTACACTTATTTACTACTTGGTTCGCCAAATTTGAGCATCATATTTTATAATAGGATGAGTTATATTTCTTATCAATTTATATAAAAAAGAAAAAGAGTGATTATAAATAAGTAAATAAATTAAAAATATACGAGTTCAAAAAAACCTGAAGATAGACAAAACTACAATATTTAAATTCATTTATTATATTTTAACTAGATTATAATTTTGAAATTAAGATCGGCCATTTACAAAACTGTAAACGAATAAATGATTTGGTAGAAAATATAATTATATTTCAAAAGTTAATAAAATTGAAAATATTGCTCTACAGCAATTATTTGTCTACTTCTGTATAAAAATTAATTTATTTTGTAGATTAATGATTAATGATTACAAATTAAAATCAATGAACAATTAAAAAAAAATGTTAGTTAACAAAATACAAATGATGTGATAATAATTTATTTTAGATAGGTATAACTAAATAGTAATAAGTTATAAATTAAAATAGGATCTTTCAAATAATAACATATTTGATCCTCAGAAGCTTATAAAACTTAAGAAATGATTTATTAGTTTATTTAATAAACTATATTCTTATGTTTCAAATTAATTTAACAAAAATGTTTTTTAGGGGTTTGGGATAGGCAATTTAGTATAACGCTCTGAATAATAAAATGTAAGGGGCAAATCAATTCGTTAATTTTTTTAAAGAAATTACATTTCTATTAGCAAAAAAAATTATTAAATTCATATTTTTAACCGTTCGATTTCTATGTATTTGATTACAAAATCATGTTGGCATAATTTTAATGAATTTTAATAAATGGTACATAAGATATTAATCCAATATATTTTTCAATTCCTAAATTTTATAGTATATAATGTACCTCCTAAGTGGATTGTTTTTACTGAGTTCTTTGGAGTTGGTGATGCTCGCTTCTTCGGCTGAACTGTCGTCTTTCGTACAATCCTATAAACATAAAGTAAAATGAAATACATGATTACAATAAATAATACACTGAATACATTACAGATGAGGGTCAAAAAAGCGGTCGTGTTCATATAGTAATTCTAAACATATTTCATATCTTAAGTAGGGCCATAAAAATTATACCAATATAGATTCGTCGAGACTATGAAGATGGGTGTCGTGGAGTAGTTTTTGGAACTTGAATTTTAATTATGTAATTATAAATGTATTTATAACAATACAATTTTTTGTCAAGTTATCATTATAAGAATTCAAGAAGTTTGTAAATGCGTGTCGTCGAGGAGTCTTTTGTATCAAAGATTATATAAAAAAATTTGAATCCCCTCTCGCATGGCCGAGCTATAGGCACGCCACTTAACATTTTGAACAATATATTATAAAGTGCAGACACAGTTTGAGAAGTTTACATAGGTATAAGTTTCATCCGGTCACTTATTTACTTTAGTCTTTAGATAATGATATATAGTGGCCAAAATGCACCGAAGAAGATATGTTAGGGGACATGTAATCGTTAATAATTAGAACTCACGTCGTTCCAAGTGGCTGGAGAGTCGTATTCGGACGAAATAGATGAGCGCCTTGATAGCGGAGTGGGCAACCGTGGACGGCAGGGTATTGGCGGAGGCCTAGGCGGTGGTGGTGACAACTGCGGCTCAGACCTCCACGACGATCCGGGTTGGTGTCTCTCGTAGAATGACAACAAGGCCCGTTTCTGTATGGCCCTCAGGGAGTGGTCTGCTACTCTGTGCTTCTTTTCCGGATCAAAATACGTGAACTTGTTGGGCGTTTGTGTTACCTGCTGTTGCTGTTGTTGCTGTTGTTGTTTCTCCAGTTCGTTAATTCGTTCAGCAACCGTCAGCGCTGGTGGAGATCTAAAAATGGTTTAAAATACAGACGTTAACATGATATGTCTACACAGTTGTACAATGCATGTATATAGACATGTAAATCACGTGTAAACTTATAATATAATCTGATGATAAGTTAAGTACCATTTATTTATATAAAAAAAAAATAATATTGATACAGTGTATCTGACATTTAAGCTTCGACAAAGAATATGATGATATGATAATTAATTATAAATAAAAACACAAACTCGTGGTGTTTAAACGAATTCGTGATATACTCATTATAATTATTCTGGTTGTTGAACATTAATAAAACACAGCGTTTGCTATGATTATTATGAATTTTAGTTTTTAAATTGTAGAAAATAAAATTTAGGCATATTATGCGAACAGACGTACAGTACAGTAGGTATCCATCACACGATTTTAAATCAAAATACTAATAATATCATAGTTTTTGTATTTAAAGATTAAACAACTAATCAACGACGTGCTTTTTTGACAAGTTTGATTTTTGTCAAAGTTAGATAATTAGAATCAGTATTCTTATGAACTTGTAATTTTATAATAGTTTGAGAAATGTCTATGTAATGTAGTAGTGTGGAGAAAGCTTGTGTTATACAACCGTTCCGATGTATTATATGACAGAGGAATAAAACGCATTATACTTTATCCCAAGTCATTTAGAATAATAAGAAAAATAAGATAAATAAATTTGATAAGAGTGCGGTGTTATGCATAAGCAGATGACGTCCGAGATGTGAATAAAAATAGAAAACTAAATTTTGATATGTATCTTTATAGTAATAATAATAAAAACGCCGAACAATACAAATATATGGGTACATCGTAAAATGTGGTGATAACGGATCGTTCACTAATTACTCGATATTATTCTGACTCGGGACTACGAAATTATTAATAATTAATTATTGGCGTCATACATTTACAGACCACTAGATAAATAATAGGATAAAAATACCGAGGTACCCACTTGACATACTACGATTGTGTAATGTATACCCACAATTATATTATTATGATAACGGAAACAATTATTATTATTGACGTGGCATTTGCTTCGAGTTCCGGACTTAATGCGTGATTATGTATATTTTTATCCCAATGTTCCAAAATACATTAAAATAAACGATAATATCAACTCATATTACCGATACTTAATAGGTAAGTAAATTGAGTTTAAAAATTGTATGGTTTAAAGTTACTTATATATGTATGTGATATGTCAACATTTTAAAAGCATTAACAAATACATTATGCAACTATATTATTATTATAATATGCGGATAGGTGTGCAGTGCAGTCGTTCGTACTTTGGTGAAGTCTTTTCGTCTACGACCATGGCAGGTTGTACCGTGTACGTGCTGACCGGGAACAACTTTCGGAGATTTCTCTGGTTGCCAACCCTGGGTTCCTGGACGTTGGCGCCCGACCATCCATCAGTTACGCTCATCACTGACTCGGAGTGGTGTCTCTGCGGCGCCGACACCTTGGCGCTGTGTGCAATCAGCTGGGTGGTCGACCGGTGGTGCCCGCCACTGGACACAGTGCTCAAGTCACTGTTGGAACCGTGCCACTTTAGCGTTTCGCTGGACGAACCAGAGCTGGCACTCGAGTCCCTCCCCTGGGCGGCGGCGGGTTTCTCCGATTCTTTGCTATTGACGACCACGACAGCGGATTCGCTGTCTCTCCTCAACCTGAAAATAAATCCACCGTTATATTATAAACATAAAGAAAAAATTAACAAAACCTGATAACTTGCGAAATTTTTTTCGAAATTTTTAATCCAATAGTTAGGTTTATTAAATTATATACCTGTCCAGAAACGGGGTTGATGTGGAATCGGTGCTGGACACGTAACTGTGGTACCCTTCGCTTTGCGCGTACGAGGTCTGGTGTTGGTGCAAGGGCACTGTTTTTTCGGTCAGGCTGATCTGGGAAGTGGACTTTTCCTCGTAGATCCGAGTGTAATGCTCTAGCTCCTCCTTGGTCAGATGGCTGGACAACGCGCTGTCGCTACCGTCGAAACAGCTTGAGTACTCGTCTGTTTCTCGCTGCGGAAGCGGAAAAACAAAATTATCAAAGTATACAATAACAATAATAATAATATAGGACGACGACAACGACGAAGTTTCCGCCGTAGAGCGTATAGTACTATAATAATGATGGTGTGTATGAAATCAGTCACTAACGTGCGGCGAGTCGTCGTAAGCTCTGGAATACTTTTCTAGCTGCGCTTGCGTGAGCCGAGAGTTCAGGTCCGTTGGATCCGACAAGGCGATCGTTGATAATGGCACACAAAAATGTTTCTCAGCGGTCTGCTGCAGTCTTTCCACATAACCGCCACTACCGCTTTTGGTTCTCATCGACCGCACCCGGTCCAACAGCTCGGGTTTGCCCTTTTCGCAACGCTCCATCACGGTTTTCAACTGCGAAAAACGGTCAATGTTATTATAGTGTTACGTAAATAAGTATTATAATGTCACACATAATATGTAGTATAATATMAACAAGATACATGACTTGATGACATGACAATAATAATAATTGTCCCTAAATCGTGCGATAATTATAATATTATTATGTTGATTATATTAAAATATATATATAATATTAATCGATTGTCCGTGGTATGGGCCGTTAGGTTAGGTTATATATTATATATACACATAAGTATATAGGAACAATAGCTTGGGGTCAAAAACTTCGACGGCATCCTAAGTCTGCAAGCCGACAGCGTATTATAATACATATTATTGTAAGCCCAAATACTCAAACCGGTTTCGTTAAACAAACATTTATCCGCGCACCGCCGCCGCCGTACACACACCGAAAGTGTTTCGCTCGTTATTCGCATCCGACACGCCTGGTTCAACGCGGTGATCGAAGCCCGGCCCGTTCGACGACAAATCGATTTGCGGCGAACACACCGGACACGGTTCGTCAACACGAATAGTGCACCGGAATATTCTTCACGGCAGAAGAGCGATCGACATCGACGCAGGTCCGCCGTAACCAGACCAAGTTTTAGCGGGGCATTATATATATAAAAACAACATTAATTTCTAATATTTTTTAAGGGGGCAACGATTGGGTCCAGGGAGTGAAACGCACTCTCTTGACCCCCTTGCTGCGGGCCTGCATCGACCACCACTCTAATAATCATTAAACATAAATAACGATGAGAGTATGCAGTGTGTGATATAAAAAATAGGCAGTTTGCTCTTATTTTTTAAACAACGATGATTTCTCGTACACTTGTAGCAGTACAAATACGAACACATGACACGAAACACCCTGCTTTAACAACGAGTGCTAGTCGCGGGTCCGGTTGGATTAATACTTGTTGGCTTTAAGGCTATAACACAGACTGCAGTTACCCATGTTGCAGCTGAACAACGACGAGACTACTAGCTACAGGTCGAGTGCACCGACTTCGGCGGAATCACAAAAATGCATGGTCGCACATACCGCATCCTTTACCAGGCGCGCAGTTGTCATCGTCGTTGTCGTCGTCATCGTCATCACCGTCATCATCATCATCATTATCGTTAGCGTGTGTATTTCTAAGAGTATTAGAGGGTATAAAATATATTAAGTTTACCGAACAATGATCGCAGATGAGTATTATAGGCTCTTTTTGGAATGATTTTATAAACGAGACTATACATAATATTTTGTCCATCCTCCACTTCCACTGCGTTGAACAAAACCAATATTTCAAACGCGTCCCGACTCCCGAGTCGTCGTCGAAGCTTAGCATAATGGTATAGCAATCGCGCGAAACAACATCGATTATACAACAACACCATTTATAATGATCGACTACAACAATCGGATTCGGTTGTCGGATCGAGAGCGCGCGCCATCAACGACCACGAAATCGCCAATATTATTATGAAGCTGCGGCGATAAAATATTGTAATCACGATAATRCATTATATTATAATAAGGCGTGTGTCGTACCGGCGGAGCGTGAAGCGTCCAAAGTCAGTGACCCGTCTCGAAACGGACACGGCCGCGGTGGAAGCGTCGTCGTCGTCATCGTAAAGTCCCACATTATGTTATTATTATACAGCCAATAATAATGCCACGCCGTTGTACACTTTAAAATAATATTATGAACTGGCGTTGAAATTATTATTAATTATTCGTGAATCGCGTGCAGGTGTGGTCGGTGTCGTAGGTATGATGTGTACACAATAATATCAACAATAATCATTGTTTTATTATATTATTAACGTCTTGCAGAGTGTTATGATGATGTAATATATTATAAGAATAATATGCATAATAACATGTGTCGCTATGAATTTTCGCGGGGAAATTTCGAACCAATTAATAACGGTTTTGCAACAAAATCGATGGCGGCGGCGGCGTGGCGAGACTATCTGGCCGTTTGTATCTTTACGTTTTGTCGATTACACTCCGCGCCTGCTGGTTTGTATTTTCTACATATTTTTCCATTGACTTTCACCAATCCAATCGTGTTTCACGAGCGCGTATTATTGGTCCTAAATAGTACCTAACTAAGCAGTGGCCGCAGAGACGATGGGGTCTTATAGAAACGCACACGATATTATACCGATTACAAAAAACCGAGACTATAAAATATATTAGAATAATAAGAGTTTGTCGTACATATAAAATATATTTCAATATTTGTGTACATTGATAAATAATGACTAGATGATTTCCCGCGTACAAGTTCGCTTCCGTCACCCCTCCACACTGTTTTCACGCTAGCGTAGACATGCTCATCATGATAATAATAACTAAATATTCTATTGGTTAGGTAAACATTATTACTATAATAGACCTGTATATTTTAAAATATTATTATGTAATATTGAGTGCGAGCGTGTTTACTTGTTGCGTATAMAGCCCGTTGGACAGTCTCTTTGGATACGGCCGGACGATGGGCGGCGGTTGTTCCTTCGGGTAACTATTGTTGCTGTTGATGCCGCTGCTTCCCGTCTGCTCTTCCGCCCAGGACTTTCTGGCCGCGGTGACGGACATTCCATTGCTTTTGACGGTCGTCGCCGTGGTGGTGGCCGGACAGGATGGAAATTTTTCGTGTTCGCAAGCCGCGTCCTTGACCTATAAAAAACAATTTATTTGTTTACACTCGAATGTTTGTGTTCTTTTATCATAAACATACACACATATTAAATGATAATAATATATTATATATTATATAACAACATGGGCAATAGCGGCGACCCAAAAACAGTAAAAAACCGAGTTTAAACCGAAGTGTCAACGATACTGTAATATTCGGATTGGCCTTGTTGTCGAAAATAGATAATCAAATACTATATACAACGTGCGCATATTATAATTGTTTATAAATTAACCTATTGGTCGTGTTTCAAGACAATAATCGAAGACCTCATTGTTTCTGTTGGTTGTGGCTGCGACAGCGTACCTACTAACTCTACGCGGTAGTTGGTATTTTATATAATATAATATATAATAATAATGCATTACCTACGCCGCCAAGTATGTTGTTGACGAACGAGAGAAGAAAAAAAATTCCCTCGGATATGCGGCGGCGACTATGATTCTTCCAACTACAACGACCTCAGATTCGTCCTTGGTGGAAATCTTTTTTTTTTTGTTTTTTCATTTGAGTACGACTACTATTGTATAAACCGAACACCCACGGACGGAATTTTTTCATATTTTTTATATGCACACACGACGTGCATCCATCTATATAATATAACTGGTTCGTCATCACATCAACGAGAGARCACACCGTACCTAGTTCGACATCGAGTCGTCAAGTATAAAATATACATATTATGTATTAACGTCGATGGATAATCGTAGTAATCGTACTGTTGATATACTATATTATATTGTATAGACATAGAAAAATAACGAAAATAATAAATTTTCAGATTCTTTATACGTGTTATGCCTAAACGTTTTTTAATAAATTTTAAAATTATTTTCAAGATAATCTTTGTTTGTGCGGCACAAATTATGTGGGTAACAATTTACTATTTAAAACGATGTCGATTGAAAAGAAAATGTGTATAATTATTGACACGTGTTTTATAAGGATTGATTATACGTTTTATTTTCTGCAACTGTAGCATTAAATTATTTTAAATGCAATATATTATCATAAGTCATGAGGTAAACTGTAAAGTATTTTGTATGGGATTCCATTGAAAAAGCCAGCGAATTATTTCTACGGAAATTTTTTCGCTTTTAAACACATCAATTTTTTAAGGAGTTATTAAAAAAACAATTTTAATAATTTTAACGATGTTTTGTACGGTTCACATTCGCCACGGAGTATTTATCTGTTTTTAATTAAAATATACGTAGGTAGAGACTAGAGGTAGAGAACACTATATGCGTACATCATGGGTATTATAAGATATTGGAGTTTTAAATAACTTAAAATATGACAGGAAACGGAACAATATATAACAAACAATAGTTTAACGTCATTAGCGAATGCGGTAAACTATTTAGCTGGTTACAAGAAACATGAGCCATTAATGTAGTAGGTTTTCGTAGTAAAATGCCTGCATTTATCAAGGTATGCGCCATGATCGCATATCATCGCCATGATATAGTATTCCGGAAACTCGCAGTGAGCACACAGATAAAAACACAAGAAACGTATGATATATTAATTCGGCAATAAATTACCAACAGTTATAACTAATAATTAATAAGAAATCACCAAAAACAAAATAATATCTATACGTCATATTAAAAGCATTGGGCAATAATCGGTTTTTATCGTTCAACAATGATAAATTAGGAGTGCACTATTGAATTTCTATCATTTTAAATCATTGCTGCCTTTCGGTATACCCATAGATATATACAACAACTTGATAGCTGTCTTTGTACTACAGTAGTGGCCGATATTGAAGTCGGCCGCCATTTACAAAGCAGGCAATGTTTACATTTATTATTATCATGAGGATACTGATAATGCTAAGATGAGTAATATCAGTTGAGATTTCAAATTCAAATAATAATGATATTGTTTTATTCTGTTTTCTGGACAGGAAACTAGGAAGTAGGTACTAGCCATTAGGTAATAAATACTTWAAATATTATTATTTAATATTTTAAATTACAATAAATAATATTTAATATCTGCCAAWTTGCCATTATGCCAGTCTCATGTTCAGTGCACGGATGTTCTAATAGACAGATACGTAGTTGTTGTCAACATTTTTTTAAGCGAGAACTTTTAGACTTTGGTTATCTATCTGAGATGAATCAGATTATTATTTGTATTTGATGAATTGTAGGTTTCCTTTAAAAGATCCCAATAGACTACAATTATGGGTTGATGCAGTTAAGCGTAAAGGATTTAATCCTAATAAATCTAGTAGAGTATGTAGTGACCATTTTTTACGCTCCGATTTTGTGGCAAGACCTGGAGGAAGTTATAAATTAATGTTAAAAATTGAATCAGTTCCTTCACTTCTTATGTCTAGGAGTTTGGAAAATTTTGTTAACTTCAGAAACCGTGGTGGTCTTATCTTACCCTCTGATAGTGTTTTTAAAGTTATTGCTGAGGCYGAAAAAATGTTACTGTTTTATACTGATAATTTAAAATATTTAAATATTTCTAACTTGGAAGGGAAAATAATTTTAAATTGCAATAACTTATTAGCATTAATAATAATAATAATATTTTTAGTGATTTAATATGTGAGAACATATCATTGTTAGACCGTCCTCATAAAATGGTTTTGATACAAATAATTATAAAAAAAATATTTGAGTGTACGTTTACATACATTTGGAAAAATGTTTTCTACTAATATTCTTAACCCTGTAAATAAACGCCACACACTGACTAAGGCTATTTTATTTTATCACCAGTAAACCTTAAGTTTGTTAAGTTTAAAGTTTTTAATTTTGTTTTGTTTTGTCAATTTATTTTCATAAAATTGTACACTTGAAAGTTTATACAAATATTGTATATTGTTAAAAATTAAAAGTATAAATTAAACTTTTGTACTTTCATAAATAAATGTATTAATATTACAAATAATATTTGTTTTTACAGGGGTTTTTACTTTAAGACATAATAAACAATATTCTCAAGGCAGATAATAGTCTGCACACACATGAGGAAAGAATAGTTGATATATGTTACAAAACAAATAGTTGRCGAAAAAAGTGTACCTACCTACATATATTAAATTTGTTTCCAGTGGTGAAACCAAATAGAACGTTCCTAACTAATTCCAACAATAATATCCCATATCCACATTAATTCTTCCCACTCTGCTATAAATCAATTAAGTAATTGGATATCACGTAGGTTAGGTATGTAATTATGTAAACAAAATATAATATTAACATTAAGTAATATTTTTAAATTTTAAATTAATTAGAATTAATAGAATTCAGATTTCAGATTATTTTAAATTTATTTGATTATTGATTAATTAATACACTGTGATAACTGAAGATTGATAATATTGTTTTGTAAACATTGCCTGCTTTGTAAATGGCGGACGACTTCAATGATAAGAGGGAGACGGCTATCTAGTTGTTGTATATATCTATGGGTATACCGCATACATTTACACATAATATTATGTGCATAATAGGTTATACATACGTAAAGATCAGTATTTAGTTTAATTTATAATTACATTATGCTTATGCACGCTGCGAGTTGTTAATTATAAATTTAAACTTTCTAATTGTATATTAATTAAAATAATAATGGTAGGCTCCCCTATTAAATAACGCTTTCCAATATTCCAATGATTCACTAACGAACTTGAAATATAACAAAATAGTGTGTTCCTATTATCAGCCAAACTCCACATATAATAAAAATATAAATAGCGTGATGATATCGTCATTGAATAGTTTACCGGTTGCATTCGTCGAAAAACAAGTTTTTAGATAAGTATAGCATGGCACCTATTAGGTATGTTATGTATTATTATTTTATATTATATGCACATATGCAGAAGAAACGTATGATAAATTTTTGTGGTTCGATATCAGTGTTGAACACCTTAGATGAATTAAATAAAAAAAAAACATTTAGATAACATTTTTTCGCGCGATTCCACACGTTGTTGTGAAGGTCCGATAAAATAATACATCATATTAATAACCATGGGAAGGTGTTTAAAATAATTGCGATAAAAAAATGTTGAATGCCAACTTGTCACGTAGCAGATGGGCATACAGATGTCACCAAACATAATTTATACATTTATTAAAATTTAGATTTATGAAATATGTAAGTTTAATTCATAAATACTGAAGACGTTTTAAATTTAAATGAAAACCATCTATATTTACTGTAAAAGTACATAATTAGTAAATCTATTTTTTCCCTAAGGGATTTGGTAAAAAAGAACTGCGCCACTTTTATATCAAGAGGCAAAAAACATTTTAATTATAATTATGATTATGATAACAATAATTTTTGTTTCTTTTATATCTAAATATACATATATATATATATTAAAATAGATTAAATATTGTAAAAAAAAATTAAATAAAAAACTCACATCCACTGGTGGCTGTGGGGCCCTGTGTCGCGGTATGTGTCCGTCACAAGTTTCAGTCATGCGAGCCGTTACTCGACCGGACTTGACGCCGTTGCCGTGCGATGAGTGGTTTTCCTTGCTGCTGGACAGTTCTCTGATGGTGGCCACGGCGGAACAGTTGACCTTTGCGAACGATCCATCGTTTCGTGTTCTGTGGAAATAAAAAAAAATTAGTTCTCCTCAATACGAACGTAATAAAGTATCAACAAAATATACAATATTGTATGGAAACGACGGAAATAATTATTTTAAACACATAATATTATACACACGACGCACAATCCAGTAATTTGACGTTCTCTAATCAAGAAAAGTATTGCTATTAAATTTAATGATTTTACCAACAAAATAATGTGGTGCAAGGGATGCAAGGATGAGGATTCCTGCTATGGACCTGGAGTAGGTAAAGTAGAGTAATCGGCGAGTGACTGTGACGAATATGTAATAGGTTTTTAAATATTAGAGCTTCGTGCGCWTTATAACGCTGGATATAATAATTAAGTCGGATCTGACTAAATTTAATAAAGGCGCCGGAAGTGTATTGGCTAAGTATGAACAAAATAATGCTATATTAATACGCGGCAGTCGTCGCGCTCGTATTCGCGATTCGCCGCAAGACCGTGACGGATCGATGGTCTCGTAGCAATGGTATTTTTTAATTTCAATTATCGTAATTATCGTTATTTTTTCTACAGTGACATTTGAGACGAAAAAATGTACAGTAAAAAATACTACCGCCGAAGCAGAATAATTTTATCGTTGATTGTCATTATACACCGACCGAGACGCGATTACGCCAACGACGGCGCGTCCGAAACCTGGTGATACGAAGTACACGGCTTGTCGGCATTATAATATAATATAATTATTTACTATATTATTAGCTATTAGTGAAGCGTCATATTATGTAACTATACCTACTGATATTTTGTTTATTTACAGGAAGAAGTACGAATGCAATGCGTGCAGATCGAMGGACATAATAATTAATAAGGAAAGTGTATTGAAAATTGAAATGGTGGTTAATATTTTTATTTTTTTTTGTAAAATGAAAACATTTCAGGAGGGGTCAGAACCCTAGAATTCAACTCCTGGGTACGCCACTGATTGCTTTACTTATACTTTTTTTAAATACCACTAAAAACTTAAATTTAAAATGAATAATTATGTATTTAGTACTATTCRCCTAAATAAACACTGTTGATGATACGTTCCCTACCAATTTAGTAAACCGAAAACAATATTGCAGACACAAATTTTTAAGCTAAACATATTCATTTGTCAATTTCAAATTTTAACACTAAGTTAATAATTACTAAATAAAACGATTAATATAATTTAGAATATAAATGTATTAATAATATATAATATTTAAATAAGTGTAATTTTAAGCTAAATTTAAATCCATTTTCTAGAAATCATAATTTACAAGATAACGCGTGCTTATTGTAATAAAAATAATTAATGTATGGGCGCCCGAGTATACGATTCATCGACGAATGCACATACCTCGTCAGTACATAGCATCATAACATGTAATAATATAATGAATCATTAATAGAGTTCTTATTAAATACTAATGAAATTTAATAATAACAATATAATAATTAATAATAGTATATTGTTTATTGTATAATAAATCATAATTGCAGGCCACAAAACGATCATAATAACATTATTAATTATTATATGGAGGTACAGCTTGTCGTCTTGATTCAGATGTCATTGGGTAGTCGTTATTATTAATGTCCGGCACTCCGGCTTGGTATATTTTTGTACATATTAATATAATAACGAGTATACTCGATTTTACTGGGTGYGCGCACACTTAAATGGGGCAATATTTCTACGAATTAAAGTTATATTGTTTGTTATAGTAATAATAAAAATATAATAATAATAATATGTGAAAATTCATTATGGCAAACCGCAGAGTGCACGTTTGAAGTGTTTATGAAACCGGTTTTATGGCATATTAAAATTGCGTGCGTGCGTGTGCTTGGTACGTTCGGTTAAATCGTCCGAAATGCTTTGTCATTCGACATCGTACACGAGCATGAAAGAAAAAAACATACGATTATTTCTTTTTTATCACAGTTCGCGCATTACACGGCTGAGTTGTACGTGGTTTAAGATTCAAAACTGTGTGGACGTGTGGTATACACATAATATTTTTGCAATAATGGTCTCGTTAGAATGCTTTATTATGTATAAAAAAAACAAATTTTACTCGAACTTTTAACCACCACGTTAAGATAGAAACTAAATTTGTAATGTGGCATAAGCTTTRAAGCGATTTTGTTATTATAATGATATTCATAAATTCATAATTATTAAATACTATACGGTTAGGTTAGGTTAGGTTAGAAGACGTATCGGATAAACCTGGGTTCATATATATAAACGATGTCTGTCACGTGAGTTCAAAAGTTTAGATCTAAAYATTTTTTGGCAGATCATGGTAAGCGAAGGATTATTTTGATATTATTATAACTGCAGCTATTCAAAATACAATAAAATTTATATGACACGACGTAATATTTAAGCCTATTGTTCATCGCAGTCCGGCCCCTATAGTACATAATTATGTGTAGTTCTCTTGCACAAAATTATCATAAAAAATACCATAATAATATTATGTACCTATGTTATTTTGATATGCTAATAAAATATTATGTGAAAAACATTTTGATTTTACATGGTAAACCATATAGGTATACTGCATGGTGTACGCGCAATGACAATAATAACAATATTATTATCATTATTTTCCCGGCGCAGATTCTGAGCTATCCAGTATCCACCCAATATAATTCTTATGGGGGTACATTATACTGCAGTGTTACGTAGAACATAATATTACCTATAAGTTATAAGTTATAACAAATATAAAACAGCAATAATAATAATAATATGCATATACCCACGCAGTGCATGTGTGTACGGCCGAATGATTTATGTGTCGGAGCTACCGAATTTCCCGAGGTCACGCCCACCGCCGGGCGTATATAATATTAATAATAATAATAATATGATTATTATTCCGGAATATTATATATTAGCCTATAGCCGGCCGCGGAGCAACGCATCGCAACACTGCTGCGGAACAGCTTCCTCTGGGCGGGAGGAAGAAAAAAAAACGAGAATAAAATTAAAACGCAAGAAACGGCCCGGGCCATGCGCGCATTCCGGACATAGTCGAGAACCGGTTGTGTTCGGTGGTTTCTCCGGGGAATGATATAGATACTGGCTGCAGCAACAGCGATATTGCATAATCCGGACTTCCGAAGGAAATCAATGRAAGACAATAATGCTCCATATAACAGTGAGTCTTTTTCGAATTGTAAAAAAATCGCACATTCCAGACTAACGTTAATAAGTATATCTTATACATTGTTTTGTGAGATTATCGGGATTTTGAAAAAATTCAATAAAATTTTCAGAGWTCGGGTGTACYGTATGTCTTTCGCAACTTTATAACATRTATTGACGCGAATATTGATCGACCTCTGTACTCGCAAAATGGAATGAGCGACTATTGYTGAGAGMACTTACCGAAAGTGAATTCTAAACTTTCAACAAAATTAAAATTATTTTTTACGATTTAGAAATAATWATTATTATTTTCGCTTTAATAATAACAYGGTAAGTTGAAATTATAATATATTGTTAACCTAGAAAGGCCACCGATCGGTACAGCCTCGGTTCGGGAGGAAGTGGGCTAAYAATATTGTGGAGCAAGCCACCAAAAAGGTGACCTGGCGGATATAACGATGTTATATTGTACCTAGATATCATGAAATTGTATCAGTTGATCGCCGAGATGATCTGTGTGGGAAATAATGTAGAACGGCCGACGGCCGCGGCGGTAGGTAGGTACGAGTAGGCATATTGGCACGCCGCACGCGGGTATGCATCATATTATATCTGCTATTCAGGCCGCGCGACAAGGTCGGCGAAATTTTTTTCGCGACTTTTCCCTTCGTCGCGACCATTTACCCGTTACTTAAACGCTACCACGTCGCGCGCGTCTCAATAACGGTTAATGATTTATGTGTGGACGCGAGTGCAGAAAATAAAGATCATATTATTATGAACATTATGCTGTGTGTGCGGTAACATCAATATTATTATATACATAAAAGAAGGGAAAAATAAAGTGCGCGATATATATCGTTGACTATGCTGCTGCTGTTGTTATTGTTGTTGTTAACATTTATTATTGCATAACACGAGTGTCTCATAGAGACGAGTGTCTATAACCTTTGTACGTTATAGAATTGTATCGGATGAATATTCTGTGTACGCGCACGGTACACGTTGACACATTATTCAAATGTAAACGCGAGAACTGCGTTTAAACAATACAGCTGCGGCTCGAGTAAATTAAGGTAAACGTGTGTGTGTGTGTGGGGAGTCTGCAGCGGCAGTAAATAGTCGCGTGTCCGTTATTGTCGTCATCGTCGTCACCCGCGATGACCATTGTGTTCGGACAGGTATATTATAATAATATTATATTGTGTATGCGCGCGCGCTTCCAACACAAAATATAATAATTATGTGATGAGCACGTGTTGGTGTGTTACTGTTACAATATATTTATATTCAACACACAGTGTTTGTTTGGAAGGTCATTAATTTGAATCGTATTTTAAATTATATAATATAGCCCCAAAGTTTATATGTGTAATTAGTACCTGTGTTACTATAACGACCACGATGCAAAATACCGATAAATATTGCAGTCCGGCGCTGTCTAACCTCTCTATTATAGATCTATAATCTTATGTAATTATACGAACACAATATTATTACTTCATTTTGGTACATTATTATATTATGTCACGCGCGTGTAAATAAAGACACAAAGTCGTATTYGAGGGGCTTCAAAGAGGAAACGTAGTTTTTTTCGTTTGGCAGTCCGAATTTTTGTTTTCTACAAGGACGGAAGTATCGAGTACCAATGCACGGTGGTAATTTAATGTCACAGATGCGTTTCAACGAGTTTGCCCGACCGCCAGCCGTCTGTGCATTAAACACATTAATACACTTGTCGAAAGGAATGATTGCGCGTGCAAAAGAAACGATGAAAAAATAAAAAAGTGATTCTACCAGGAAAAAACTGCTACTTGCACCGAGCGAAACCTTGCT